TCGAAGCCCAGCACCCACATGGCAGCTAACAACTGTCCATAATTCCAGTTCCAGGGATCCGACCACCTCTTCTGTCCTCCGTGGGCATTGCACAACACAGGTGCACTTACCTACATGCAGGCAATACATGCATACACATAAAATAAAAATAATAAAATATTTTTAAATTGTTTTTTTAAAAAAATGATAAAGGCCAGGCGTGGTGGCACACGCCTTTAATCCCAGCACTCGGGAGTCAGAGGCAGGTGGATCTCTGGGAGGTCAAGGTCAGTCTGGTCTCCATAGCGAATCCAGGCCAGCTGGCTACAGGGAGACCCTGTCTCAAAAAGACCAAAAAAAATAAAATAAAGAAAAATACCTAAACTTTTGGAATTAGCTTTCTTTTTGGCACAGTTTATTTTTTTCATCTGTGTCATGTCTTTACTTGTTCTATCAATAAAATATGAATGAGCAGGACCATAGAGACAGCCAAGGAGGTTTTCAGAGCTAATTAAAGCACACGTTTGAACCTCAGGGAGGTCCAAACAGCGCATAAATCATGGAAGTTTAGAATGACATATTTTATCAGCATGATATATTGCCTCAGCTAATCTCTCCCAGTTGTCGTTCCCCTGCTGTGACTTTCATTAATGCAGAGAACTGAGAAAACACAAACTGGGCTTTTTGACAACTGGGCTTGCATGGCCCTCCAGCTTCCATCGTAGGTGGATTGATAGCATGCATTCTGGCTGTTGAATGTGAGAAAATGGATAAATACTAAGACAAATGGCGGTAGCCCTCAAAAAAGCTTTTGATTAAATAAGTTCTTGTGAAGACAATACAGAAAAATTAATTAGGTTGTGCTCAGATAATTCAGCTTTCACTCAGTGGCCCTTCAGAAAAGAATTGCCACACATATGTCCCTCAGGCCATGCACTTGAACTTTAACTAGATTTAATCTTAAGGAAAGCAGTGCACACACCCTTAAACCCAGCACTCGGGAGGTAGTGGAAGGTAGATCTCTGTGAGTTGAAGACCAGCCAAGTCTATACAGCAAGACCCTCTCTGAAAAATGAAAAAAAGAAACTACTGAATAAGTCATGATCATAGGAAAGCCTGCAGAACACATGGTATTTTCACCTAAAAATTTAAGCAAGAAGGAACTCTGAATGTGATTGTGGCAACATGTTCAAACAGAATAAACAATAAATATATATATATGTTCCATATACATATATATTTATAGGTATATTCAAATTTACATTAAAAAGTGGATTTTGTTTTTGGAAGAGAGGCAGATACTTCTTTGGATATTCATTCTTTGTTAACCTAAGAATTCGCACAAGCTAGAATGAATACATATGTTGAAAAAAAAAGGAAGCTAATATGCAGCTACTTGGATAAAGTGTAATTGTTCAAAGAACAAGATGCAGCAAATCTGTTTAGTGTGAGAAAGCCCAATTTCAACCCAGTTTCAACCCAGCTTGCTCCTCCTTAAGAGAAGGCTCACACTGAATACTCATCTGTAAAGACCCACATGGAAATCATTTTCATGAGATTTTGAGTCTCTGAGAGTTCACTGAGGGAAGAAGTCTCAGGAATATGACTGATTATAGCAGGAAAGGATTCTGGCCCAACCTGGCCTTGCTTTGAGAGAACTCACAATGGGCAAAAATATTCCAATTTTGAATCTGGAAAATTTCTTACAGCAAATACTTGCCTCTGAGAACCCTGAAACTGAAAATCTGAGTGTTGTGGAAACAGTTCCATGCATAGCTCTTATTCAACACCACAGACATTGTCCAGAGTTAGTATAAAAATGTAGTCACTATTAGAAAGCCATTGAACATTAAAGAATTCACTGACAAGGATCCCTGTGAACATGACAGTGTGGGAAACTTCAGTAGGAGTCCTCATTGTGTTTCATGCCAGAGGACTCATATGAGCAAGGACCCTTTGACTTGTATTCTGCAGGAAAATCATCAGCCTTAGCTCCTACCTAAATTAATAATGA